GAGCCTGTGCAGATGCTCCTGCCGTGATTTCCCTCCTCCTTTGTGTATTTAGATCAGCAGAATATCAGGCCATGGTTTACTCTGCAGTTTGTGTAGGTTATGGCACAGTCTCCTGGAGCAGCACTGGGGTTCAACTCTGCTCCCTAAAAAACTGGCAGAGGTTTTCCTAAATTCTGTGAGTCCAACCAGGGCAGTGGTACTGTCAGTACCAGATTTATTGATGCCTTTGTCTCCAGAGCCATGTCCAAACAGCCACGGGTTTGTGTCACCAAAGGGGAGAGGGGCAGTAAAATCTGTTATCATGGAACTGTGGAATGGGTTGGGTTGGACGGGGCTCGGAGCAACCTGGGCTACTGGAAGGTGTCCCTGCCCATGGCACGGGGTGGACCTGGATGGGCTTTAAAGTCCCTTCCAGCACAAACTACTCTGGGATTCTGGGATTCCATGATTCTGTTTGTCAGCACTAGGGTGATGTCCATCCATGATCCATTCCTGGTTGGCACTGTGACTCTGGGTGGGTGTTCTGGCAGCCTCAGGACATGGGAGTGACAGGTCACTATTTAAAGCTCAAACGTGTGGATTGGGGTTGTTTCTTCCCAGTCTGGCTGCAAACACTCCTGCCAGGCTGCAGCAGCTGCTGGGCACCTGCATCCTGAGTGTGCCTTCATTTGCAGGGAAATACAAACATGTCACTGAGTCGAGGGTGTAGAACCCTTTTTTTAAAAATATTATTATTATAGAGAACTCTTCAACTGGAATGTGAAGGATAAAAGGGTAATTTCATACCTGGAACAAAACAATTAAGGAACACTTTCTCTTGTTGATGTTCAGAGCAGTGGGTTTGTGAGTGACCTGCACTGGGAGGTCACACAGCCCTTCCACACTGCACAGGGAAATGATCCTGTTCCAGCTGAAAGCAGGCAATCCTCAGGGATCTTTCTTTGTTGTTCCCCACCCTGAGCTTTTCTGATACATCCATTAATTTTTGGAATGCAGTCCAGCAGAATATGCCCCAGTAGGAAAAGCTCCCATTTAAAAAACCTGCCAGGAACTTTTATTCCAGTTGTGAGCAGCAACCTGGAGCTGCAGTTTTTAAACATTTTTTTTTACCACCTTTAATCACTGCAAATCAGTGACTCCACTGAAGATTATATGATTTTAATCCCATCTCCCCACCCCCGTAACTGAGATAAAAATTATGGTTTCAAGTGATTTTTGAAAAGTCTGTACTATAAAATTCCGCAGAAAATGTTTCACAGCTGCTCAGAATTTAAGGATAGGTAAAACTTCCAGATGCACCTGAGAAAAATCTCATTTACCTGGTTTTGAACCTACTGCACCACTGAAGTTAATGAGCTGTAAGCTCTTAAGTCACTTGAAAATTTTACTTAGTGATCAACTCTAGATTTTCCAAAGTATTTATTTTCATGTATCTTAAAAAACTGTTGTCTGATGCTGTTATTGTGCCCCAGCATTCCTTTGGTCTACTTGACATAAGTATACAGTAGTACAAATTTCATGCGAAATCTCGTTTATCTCACTAAAAAGAAAAATGAGTCATTTGTTACTTCCATACAGGTGGAAAACACAACAGAGGGTCATGATGTGCTGAGGAATAGGGGTGGGTGGAGAACTGGAGCAGGGAGACCCGGGAAGGGGGTGTTGGGTGTGAGCAGGGAGGTGCCCCAGCTGGGATCTGTCACTGCCAGCAGCACTGAGGGCTCCAAAACGGGACATTTAGGGGAAGGGGAAAAGGCTGGTGGAGAAACGCAAATAAAGTCCTCGGGTGAGAGCTCCTGAGGTCTCGTGAGGAGCAAGGTTGGGGAGCAGGGTGAAACCAGGGGAGGCTGATGCAGGAGAGCTGGTGAGGGGTAGAAGTTCTCCAACAAAAACCACTGCAGTAGTTGGAAGGAGCAGATGAGAAGGGTGACAGTTGAGGGGAAGCAGAAAACATCCCCTCTGTGTGACACAGAAAAGACACATTATCGGGGGGCTGGGAGCAGAGGATCTTCTCCTGCAGGGATACAGGGCTGTGCTTTAGCAGCCCAGCTCAGGCACTCTGGGTTCTCCTGAGGACAGAAGTCCCCTGGCAGCACGTTCCCTTGCCCCTCAGCTGTGGGGGTCTGTAGCTGAGGGCACTGGGCTGCAGTCCTTGTGCTCAGCACGGGGAGGGGGAGGAGGCCAATTCCAGCTGCAGCAGAGATCCATGGCATTCCCTGTGGTGAAACAGGATCCCAGGGTAACAAACAGCCACCCCTGGAGCGTTGGGCGGGTTGGGAAAGGGCTCCTTCCAGCTCCAGTCCCACATCCCTGTGTGCTTTCCCACCACTGTTGTGCACATCCATTGCGATGCTTTGTAGGATGGTGAGATGGTCACAGAGATGTGCCCAAGTGACTCCTCCTGTTCCCACCAGGGCCCATCAGCTGTGTGGAGATGTTGCAGAACTAGCCCTCAGCTGCTTATCCCAGTAATTTCAGGAATTTCCCTGTGCTTTGTCCTCAGTCTTGTTTTCAAGGTTGCAGCACAAAGCAAAAGGAGTTGCCTGATTTGAACTCAAAAAAGATGCTCCTTTATCCCTGATGTCCCAGATTGTCAGTGACAATAGGGTGAGTTTATGCCCTTCTCTCTGGTCCCAGATTCCCTGACCTACTTCCAGTTTTAACCCTTTCAGGAAACCAGTGGCCCAAACTGCTGGTCTTTTCACAGCCTTCCTTCAGGAACTCAGGGAGTCCTCCTGGGGCAGGGCTGGAGGGCAAGTTGTGGGGCTGTGCTCTTCATCCCACCACCATGTCCAGTGTTGGTTCATGGGTGAAAATACCCTCAAATCCAGTAGAATATTCTGATTTAGGTGAGGAATGAGAAGTGGATTTAGCAGGAATGCTGCATCCCACAGCTGAGCGAGTTATTTACTCTTCAGGGGACTGAAATATTTTACTGTTGGGCAGCCAAGGGGAAGTAACAGTGCAGAAGTTTAGTTGGGTATGAAATGTCTCCTCTTACACAGCATTGTTGAACTGTTACCCAAATGAAAGCTAACAATGGCCTTCCCCTACTGTTTTCCAAGTGGCCAGTCTCAATCCCTGATTCTGAACAAACTGGGGGTGTTTTTTGTTTTCAGTGAGGAGTAGATGCAAATATGTTTTGAAGGCAATTAGAGTGTTTTTATTTTTGCTCACAATAAACTGCAAGCACAATAGAATTGCTGGCACGAGGTTGAAGGTTATTTACTAAGATTATATGCCACATGTGATTAATCTCTTCCCCACTTTTTAGTCTTTTATTGGCAAAATTTTAAATATCCAGGGGATCTCTACAGAATTCTGTGGGGTCAGATTAAAAGGCTGAAAACGCTGCTCACGGGTGGCTGTGTGTGCAGAACACACTGCCTTAACTAGGTGCTTCTGGCTGCTCTCAGGTAACTGCATCTCCCTCCAGGATTCCCAGCAACAGCAGCTTCCCTGGAATCCTGCAGGTCAGCACATCCCAGGGAAGAGTGTGGCTGTTTAAAGCCATTTTCCCCTGCAGTTCTCCGGCAGCACCACTCTAGAAAGATAACAAATGACAGCAAAGTGCCAAACAGGGCTGCAGGGAACACAAGACCCATTATTCCCCGGTGGAAAGGAACATGTTAAACGTGGCTTTCCTTCCCCTGCAAGCTGCTGGAGTGCTGCTCTGTCCTCCTCCATGGCCACGTGTCCCCACCACAGTCCTGTTTGCCAGGCACTGCTTCTGCAGCTGCCCAGATGTGCAGAAGAACTGGGTGAGAATCCCCCAGGGCAGAGCTGGTGTGGGCTGGCTGAGAATCCCCCAGGGCAGAGCTGGTGTGGGCTGTGCCCACCAGCAGGGACAGGTCCTGTGAGGGTGCTCTGAGGGCAGGAGGATCCCCACGTGGTTTGGAGCCAAGGATGGGCGGTGGGGACAGGGACTGGAAGAGCAGGGTGGCTGTTCTGGGGGCAGCCCCGTGTGTAGGTCAACTCAGGGTCACTGAGGAACCAACCCCTTGGACCCCAGAACTCAGCAGGATCCAGGCAGAGCCGTGGGCTCTGTGTGATCCTGTGCAAGGGCTGCAGAAAGCTGAGGAGAGGATGGAAGGGGGGCCTTGCTCTGCACCTTCTGACACCTGTTCAGTGGTTGTTTTCCAAAGACAATGTTACAGTGTCAGGCAAGCTGGAAGCCAACATTTTATGGCCAACCTTGCCCTCAGTGTCCTTTTCTCTGGCAAAAGTAGAGTGAATCTTTACTGCAACAGAGATGAATTCCCCGTGCCTGCAGTTTTCAGGTTAGAACAACACACAGACAAGATGGTAATTATTGCTCTGCAGCTCTGCTGGAGAAAACGCCAGGAGGAAATTTCCCATTAACATTACAAACAAATACAGGAGGAGGTGATGAATAAATCCTTCCACCCTGTGACTTCTCCGTGATCAAAAGACACTTGTCTGATCCCAACATCTAATTGTCACATGATTAAAAATGTATGAGATCTCATGAACATAGAAAGACTGTGTAGAGCAGCACAAGGAGTTGATTTAAATGCAGGATTAGCAGCTTCACCTTGAAACACAAGATCAGCAAGGCAGGGGGCCAAGGGATGGACTCAAGTTTTTGCACCAAAGCAACTTATTAGTGAAACTCTGCTGATAATTTTTCACTTTTAGACAAGGGAAAAGAAGTTTGAACTTTTCTGTAAATTTTTTGGGGGGGTCTTGGATATATCTGAGAAGCCAGTGAGTTAAAAACTTCCAAGAGTCCCAAACCCCAGGCACATCCATGGTTTGAACAATGAACTTTGACTTACCAGGAATGTATTTGGTCTGTAAAACATGTAAAAATTGCACACTGACAGTGGTCATAAAGTGTAGAAAATGCTGTGCTTGTGGCTCAGGGGCCTGGTGTGAGTGTCACCACGTGTTCACCAGCTCCCACCCTGCCGTGACCTGCGTGCAGTCCCTGTGCAGAACTTCCCTGGAGTCAGAAAAGACAACGGACAACAATTCCGTGGGTTCAGCTGTAAATGATGCCTTTATGTTGTACCCAGTGCACACATCACACCCCTGCTCTCTGAGGTTTGCACTTTTACCACAGCATTTCAGTCAGGTACTCAGAATTTTCAGCCTGTAAAAAATACAGTTCAGTGCTGGACCCAAATATAACTTTCTTGTTAGTTTTCATCTTAACTTCTGCTTTTAAAGGAATATGAATCCAATTAACTTTTTTTTTTTTTTTTTTAAGTATATGCCAACTGGTTTGTTTCCGTTTGGTAGCACTGAGTTGTTTTTTTGTCCTAACTGATGGTAATGACAGCTAAATGTCAGCTTCATTTTGATCTTAGCTCAGAATATAAACAGAAAAGTAAAAAAAAAGGAAAAGGGCCTGGTACACAGTCTTCTCAATTATTTTTGCTGTGTTCCTGATGCCAAACAGTTTGGATTCTGCATGTGACTCTCAGCCCAAAAGCCATACCGAGACATTGCTCTCATTAAATTACTTTCAGTATTTTGCATCTAACGCAGAGAAAACACTGCTATAACAGAAATGCATAAAAAAAACAAAACCTGGAACTTTGCTGAAACGTAATTCCATTAAGAAAAACCCCCACAATATTTTTATATAACATTTTGGATATATTTTATGTCAAAACATGATCACCAGTCAAACTAGTGACAGCTAAACCCAATACATTATTGTGACTTCTAAAATAAAAAAAAAATCAGAACCAAACTAAATTTATTATAGCTCTGCCTTCATTAAACACCGTGTGTTGGTGATTTAAACACAACAAAACTCTAGTAATTCTTCAAAAGTGTCTACTAAATAGAATAAAAAGAAGAAGAGAACAAATACCATTTAGTCTGTTACATTAGAAAATCGGATGTACATATTCCTATTGCCTGTTAGCTTTGCCTAAGCCTTCAACTACTACAAAAATAATAATAATAATAATAATAATAATGATAAAAAAGGGAACTCATTGTTCAAAGTCAAAAACATTCAAATCAGTTGATACAACATTACAGTACAGTCAACTAACATCCTTCAGGGTCTCCTTCTCTCAGGGTCCGAGTCCTCAGACCGGGCTCACAATCCCAGTTCACCGCAGGTCCCAAACTGGGGTTGGCTCGGGAGCTCCTGCACCTCGGGATGGCTCCGGGACAGCCTCTCATTCCTCTGTCAGCACTGGAGTTAGAACAGCAGTAAGTCGAGCACAAGAACTAAAAAAAAAAAAAAAGGAAAATAATATAAAATACCGGAGAATTGGAAGGCGGGTGAAGCTGCCATTTGGGTCCGACCGCTGCGATACGCTGTACGAAAAACTCCTGAAATATCCACCTGTCCCTCCGCTCTGCCACGCACCAGCAAAGGCAAAAATACAAAAGTCTTCAACTCGTCGTTTTTGCAGAATAAAGCAAAAAAGTCTTTGTGCTCCTTACTACCAGAAGCAAAATATCCTCTGAGTTACCACATGTAATAGCTTCTGGATGTGTCCACTTGGGTCGGCTTGGTCTCTGCAGAGCCGTCCTTGTCCTTTTCGCTGTCCCCTTCCCAGAGGTTAATAAGGGGAGGGTAGAGCTCGTTCAGGGGGATTGAGGAGGTCTTTTGCATATATTTTTTCAGTGAGTGGTGGTAGTTTTTTCTCTTGAACCTTTTTGCAACATAAACGGAGACGGAGGCGAGGCTGATGACGGCGAACATGGAGCCCATGACGGCCGCCAGGGCCGTGCTGGTCTCCTGGTCGGAGATGTCCAGCGCGAAGGCCGCGTTCTTCGTCGTGACGTTGACGCAGGATCTCTGTGTCTGCTGGTGGATGTTGGACACGGTCAGACACACCTCGTAGTCCGTGGAGGGCTGCAGATGTGTGAGGTTGTACTCGTGGACGTCCACTGGCACCCTGGCGGTGTACGTGATGTGGGGGTTGTCAATCTTCATCGTGGCCGACGACCATTTCAAATTGGAAGTCATGACGTTGGAATTGACCTTCCAGGAGACCAGGATGGAATGTGACTCGGCTTGTTTGACGTAGATTTTCAGGACCTGGGTCCCATCCAGGAGCGTCCCGTTCACCCGGATGGTGGCGACCCTCGTGTCAGCCCCTTCTATGTTCTGAGCAACACAGGTGTATCTCCCAGAGTCTTCCACCTGGATGTTGGAGATTTCCAAGGTGCCCTCGCTGCTGAGCTTGTATTTGTCAGAGAGGCTTTCCACAGTGACTTTATTGCCCAGAGGAGTGACCCAGTAAATTTCTGGCTCCGGTTCTGCCATGGCCCGGCAATCCAAGAACACCGTCATGCCGATGTCCAGGTTGAGGTGATTGGGGAAGGTCTCATGGGAGATCATTGGAAGACACTGTTCGGTGGAATCCTGTATTAGCACTTCCTTCACCTGCTGGCCCCGGTATTCCGGAGGCATGGCACAGAACATGGAGAGGGGCTCCATGAAGCGGATGTTGGTTTTGTTGGAGTTGATCCAGTGGATGACGCAGTCGCACCGGAGGGGGTTGCTGTGGATGCTGATCTCGCGCAGGTTTGGGAGGGACTCCACGGTCTTTTGGTAGACTGCATTCAAGGCATTGTTGTTGAGCATGAGGCTCTCCAGGGCGGGCACGTTGCGGAATGCCGAGCGGTGGATGTAGGACAGCTTGGGGTTGTTGGTGGCCTCCAGCTTTGTGAGCTCGGGCAGGTTGTCCAGCGCGTACCTGTCGACGGAAACCAGTTCTCCCATGTTGTTGATCCCAAGCTCTTTCAATCTGAGCATGTTTTTAAAATCCCCTTCTTGAATTTTATGAATCGGGTTTTTGTTGAGATCCAGGAATTTTAAATTGGGAACTTTCTCAAGCGCAAGCTGAGGAACTTTTACCAGTTTGTTGTCATAGAAGGAAAGACTTTCAAGACTATCCAAACCTACCAAGGCATTGCCAGGAATGTCTGTGAGGTACATCCCTGCCAGAACCAGACTCCTTAAATTTGAGAGCGGCTTGAAATTCATATCCAGTATTCCAATCACTGGGTTTTCTCCAATCATGAGAATCTCTAAGTTGGGAGTCGAATCAAACCAACGGCTGTCAATGACCTTTAATTTGTTGGAGTTGAGGTGTAATCTCAGCAGATTCTTCAGGCCAGAGAATGCATTTGCGGAGATGCTGCTGATCTGGTTGTGATTTATGTAGAGCTCCTGGAGGTTGCAGAGGTCCTGCAGGCAGTAGTCGGTCATCTCCGTGATCTGGTTCTCCTCCAGGTGCAAAGTGGTGAGTTGGGTGAGATTTGAGAGTCCCACGTCTTTGATGCTTGTGAAGTTATTTTGTGAAAAATCCAACTCTGTTAAATTAAAGAGCTGCTGGAGCTCGTCTGTGGTCTTTGCAATGTTGTTGCTCTGTAGCAGCAGGACTTGGGTGTCACTAGAGAGGTTGCTGGGGATCTTTGTCAGTCGAAGGTCGTTGCAGTCGACCGTCGTGGCTTCCCTGTACGTGGACTGTGGTGTGAACCAGGGCCTGATTTCACAGACACAGAGCTGGGGACATTCACTGCTCTGCATGGAAGACTCAGTCAATGAATTCAGTAACAATTCTAGCACCAAGTGGCACACAGTTAAAAGGGCTCTAACCTTTGCCATGCTGGCCAGAGAGGGAGTTCAGCTCCCCAGCTCCCTAAAATCCCAACGGGGGAGAGGCTGATCCCTTATCAGGCAGAAAATGTAAAGCTTGAAGTTTAAGGTGAAAGGCTTGGACATCCAGAAGGTTAAAGATGACTTGCTGAGTTTAGAGAAGAGGAGAAACACACTGAAGACCCTCAGCTGCTCCTCTGTGCTCCAGAATCTTCTGCAAATCAGTGTCTGAAGATGTTCCTGAAAACAGATCAGGGTATATGTTATGCTCAGCTCACACACAGTTCATCTATTATTTAGTTTCTTCGAGCTTTGAGGAAAAATACCTGAAAACAATCATTATTTGAACACTAATCTCTTACACAAATTCCAGTTTGGTATCAGTAAGTTATGCAGGGTTTGAAACTCCCTCCTACTTGGTGTTGTGTGAGAAATATCTCAGTGAATTATCTAAACCTAAAACTCTGGGATACCTTCCTGTTTTCCTCTGCATCAGTTGTTTGAGTGGCTTGGGAAGTGCTGAGGGAGGAGGGTGTGCTGGGTCTGAAGGAGTGCTGGAGCACAGTCCCATGGGAGTCAGTGCCAGGGCCGGCCCCAAGCTCGGATTTCAGGAATTAAGGCTCAGGAAGTTGTTGGTTTATAAGTTTGAAGCTAAATGCATATGAACTTTGCCAAAATTCATCCCAGTTAATCAAATCAGTTCCAGATAACAGCTTAGATTTAATCCAGCTCAGCACCAAACAATAACAGTAAATTTGATTAAATGAATGTAGTGCCCTTCTTTGAGCTGTTTGTACTGCATTGGGATCATATGGACTGTTCACCACAATTCCTGATTGCTGTGTAAACCACACTTTAATATCTGCTTAGCCTGAGGTTCTTCATGCAAGAGTCCATTTAAATTAACCCACCAGTGTCCAGGTACCTCAGAACATCTGGGGTGTCGAGGGGCTTTAAACACATATTCCAGGAAAATCTCTCAGTAAAATCTTCCTCAATCTCACTTTACTGGGAAATTGCTCTGGTGGTTGCAATTGAGGCTTCTCAAAATAAAGTTTTGTCTTTTTATATAGATAAAACAAACAGGGATTCCCCATCCCTGGAAGTGTCCAGGGCCAGGCTGCACAGGGCTCGGAGCAACCTGGTCTCCTGGAAGGTGTCCCTGCCCATGGGGGTGAAACAAGATGATCCTGAAGGTCCCTCCAACCCAAAGCACTCTGTGATTCTGGGGATACCTGAGAGAACACAACAGTGAGAAACAGTAAAGGCAGAAAGCAGGAAAATGCATCTTTGTCAATTAAAATGCAGTGAAGCCTCAACTGAGTCACAGCCCACAAAAAGCAGTACTATAAAAAATAATAAAACTAAATACAGCTTTTAAAAATAGGTTTAAAATAGTCATTTGGATAAAGGTGACAGGAATGCCATTTATACTACACTCTTCCACATCTGATCTGCATATTAAATAATGAAATGAGTGTTTTATTTCAGATTATGATACAGTGCTGTAGGTGGAACACACCAAACAGCATCTGCACATTTATTTTTGTGCTGTTATTCTGTGGTTGGGCTTTGGGGGAAGAGAGAGAGGAATGGGAGGTATTGACCCTGTGGAATCAGCTTTTCTGAGACTTGAATGAGAGCTGAGAGGGCTTTGCTGGAGAGGGGAAAACAAGTTGTAGAACCAACATTCCTTCTCTAGTAACTTCTAACTGATGTAAGAATTGACTGAGACATTGACTGCATTAAAAAATCAAATCCTAACGGGATGGGAACAGTAGGGATTGTGTTACCACGGGGTGGTGGAGCTGTGCTGACTCTGAGGGATGTTTCCCTCGACAGCAACACATTTGTAGCTGACCCGACCCAGGCAGTTCTAGGAAAATTGATGAAATCTGGAGTTTAATTGATTTAATTTCAAGACTTTTCAAATGGCAGCATTTGCCAGTTAATAATGCAGAGCTTTCACCCCGTGAGGATCTTGGGCAGGTCCAGGAGGTGCCCCCAGAGTCTCTCCTGGACCTGGTTTCTCAGTGGGTGAAGAGAGGGAAGTCTGTGCCTTACACAGCTGAGGGCCCTAATGATGCTTTCCTACTGATTTAGCCCTGCTGTGTCTATATGAATCATATAATACTCTAAAAATCAAACTACCTGAAAAAGACTTCAAAGGTTCTTTTAAAATATGTCAAAGCATGTCTAGATGGTGCAAAAAAAAAAAAATCAAATTCGATCCTTTCTTTGTTGAATATTTATATCCTCTTACTTGCACGTTGCAGTTATTGTTCATCCTTGGTAAGAAGGCATTTCTGGGTTTACTAAACAGAGGTCTGGGTTTATGACCACTGCAAATATATGATTTTACAAGTTATAGCAACTCTCTCTCTTCTCCAGCTATTTTCTCCTGCAAATGGATTTAATTTTCTTTAACTGCAAATGTTGTTCAGAATGACCTGCACGTTGCTGTCTCCAGCCTCCCCCAGCCCAGGGCAGCTGGGACGAGCCTATAAATGAAAATCCAGGGTAATGACAGAGTAAATTCCAACCAGCTCCATCAGTGCTGTGCTGGTGTGAGGGGCAGCCCAGGGACCACAGCAGGAGGGACAACCCCAGTCCTGGACCTTTGCTTTAGCTCCTTCTGATGTGTAAAACCTCATCCCTCGCTCTGATCAGAGCTAAAGAGGCAGCAGAGAGGTCACCAAAAGCTGTCCCTCTGCCCCTGGATTGTCAGCTTCCCAGTCTTGCCAGCACTGGCAGAACTGGTCCCAGACACCTCTGCGTGTTTGATGTCTGAGGGAATAAAACAGCACAAGGTTTTTTGCTGGAAGACTGTGGTGCTGGAATGTTGGACTCCTCTCAGGTTCTGAAGTCCTGTCTGGAATTATAATGATGACAGGAAACAGCCTCAGGTTGTGCCAGGGGAGGGTTAGATTGGATATCAGGAAAATTTCTTCACTGAAAACACTGTCCAGCCCTGGCACAGCTGCCCAGGGAGGTGGAGTCACCAAAACACATGGGGATGTGGCACTAGAAGACATGGGTTAGTGGAGAGCAGGGTGGTGCTGGTTGATGGTTGGACTGGGTGATCTGAGAGGTCTTTTCCAACCTTACTGATTCCATGCTAATCACATCTTTTCAAATAAAACCTAGACAAGTTCCATCTGTAGGAATATTTTTTGTATGTGTGGATAAGCTGGAGGACAACCAGGCTTTGAAAACAACATCTGACAGTGAGCAGTTCCAAACAGGCATCAGGGAATAATCACCAGCCCATCTGGATAAACCAGGGGTGGCTCCTGGGAAAATGCCCGGCTCCCACTGGAATTGGTGAGGGTGAATGGAGAACAACAGGAACATTGAAGGCCAGGGAATGTTTCCTAAAGAAACACCAGAAGGGGCAGAGCAGCAGCTCTGGGCTTTCTGGATTAAAGGCAAATATCTGTCCTCTAAATGTCCTCCCTCAGCACAGTCCTAGCCCACATTTGGTTGGGTTTTTTTCTGAAAATGGTATTTAATATTAACACGTGGCTGATGGCACTTCTTTTAATTCTGTCTTAAAAATGTCTTTTAAAAATGGTGGGTGAGGAAACTTCCCCTGAACAGGAAGGGGGTGTTAGAGCTCCTTTCAGGAGAGACTGAGTGTGTGAAGGAAATGTTTTAGCATTCTCTGCCTTCCTTCTCATTTGTTAAATTCCTATTTTCTAGTGTTCCAGCCCACAACAGCAGTTGTAACAGCTGGTAACTTGATAGCAGCAGAAATAATGGCTAATTTTATGTGAGAGATACAGAGGAAATTATTTTACTCAGAGCTCAATAAATGTATTTTCCATGGCACCTCCCAGGACCCAGGGCAGTCAGAAACCACATTTCTGTCACCAGCAAACCCACAGCAGCTGACTGGGACATTGGCTTGTTCCTGTTCCTTGGGGACAGAAATGAGCACCATCCCTGTCTCCCATCCTGGAAATGCCAGGGGAGGTTTGTCCAAGCATTCCCTTTCCAGCAAGGTTCTGAACACTGGTTGAGAATTTGTCTGGCCTAAGATTATGAGGGCGGGTGTCTGGTGATGGAGGAGAAGGTCCTTCCTTGCAGCTTCCCTTGGGAAGAGGGGTGTGCTGAGAAGAGGTGGGTACTCCAGCCACAGCCTTGCTGGTGGCTCTGGGAGGGTTTGTCTGGTTGGGTGGGTGATCCAAAGAAAAAGTACATTCCTAAGCCCCCAGAGCAGTGAGAGGAGAATATGAAGGGACAAGCATGAAATAAACTGTTCATTAGAAGTGTTCAGAGTTAACCTGCCAACTAAAAAGAACAGATAAGAAGCATTTTTGCTTGGTAATAGGAAGACAAAGTGTTGTCACTTCCCTGACAAGTGGATATTAATGGTCACTTAAACATCGCTGAAAAGAGAAACAATATTGTTTGCACTTGGATATCTGGGTGTCTGCTCTGGAACAGTGATGCTGCCACAGAAACCTTCCCTCTCCTCCCTGAAGTGGTTCATGCTTGCAAGATTTCTTTTCTATTGCAGCAGCGTCACCCAGGTTTTGGTCGGGAGCCATCTGAACTGGATGTGCTGAGGGAAAAGTTGGAGGGATCAGATCCACAAAGAAAATTACCTCGGGCTAAGACAAGCAATTTATTCTGCAGTTGCTGTGAGCCAGGAGCACACACTGATCCCAGTTCCTCCCATCTCTCCACAGAAACATTTTCCCAGATTGAGCCTCCATTGGAGCTAGTCTGTTGGAAAATTGTCTGTGCTAATGTTCTGCTAATGACTCGTGCAGGCTGTGCATTCCCATCCCCAGCCTTTGGGAACTGCTGCCATACCAACACCCCCATCCATCAGCTTGGGAAAACCTGTCCTGGGCTGCTGCAGCCTGGATCCTTGGGGGAATGCAGGTTAGACAGCCCAGCAGCACCCAGGGCTTGTGCCAGGGGTGAGAACTGGTGGAGCTTAGAGAGAACCAGGAAAACCGAATTCAGACTGGGATCAACACAAGGTGCTGTTCCAGGCTCTGCTCGGGGGGGCCCAGCAATGGTTCAGGGGGCCACAGGCACAAAGTGATGCCCAGGAAGTTCCACCTGAACATGAGGAAGAACTTCCTTGCTGTGCAGGAACAGGTTGCCCAGAGTGTCTGGAGTCTCCTCACTGGGGATATTCCAGAACTATCTGGACACAATCTGGAGGAGGTGGGACCAGGTGGAACACTGTGATCCCTTCCAGCCCAACCCATCCTGTGGTTCTG